AAATCCAGATTAGAACTGGTCTGATAAATGCTGAGGTGTGTGTGTGTGTGAACATGGGTTGATTAACATTGGAAGCACAGATTCCCCATCATGCAGCGCTCTCCTGCTTCTCTGGTCCCAGAATTCACTGCAGTCTCTGCTTCAGGCTTTCTGTTTTCCATCTCTCATGTAAATGAGACCTAGGGCAGTTGATTCACTCTTGTCACCCTTATCTGGTGAGGGTCTTAGGTGCGTCTTTCACTGCATCTTAATCAGTTTTGTTTAGGTAGAGGAGGGGAGGCGGGGGGTGAGTCCTTTGTGAGTCAGACAGACTGCATCCTGTGCCCCGATTGCCCAAGAATACAGAGCTGAGACGTAACAGGTGGTGAAGCACTGGAACAGGTTACCTAGAGAGCTGGTGGAATCTCCATCCTTGGAGGTTTTTAAGGCCTGGCTTGACAAAGCCCTTGCTGGAATGATCTAGTTGGGGATAGTCCTGCTTTGAGCAGGGGGTTGTATTAGATGCCCACCTGAGGGCCCTTCCAACCCTAATTTTCTATGATTCTATGATATCTCAACCCTGACCATGCCTTAAGTACAGCTGTTCAGGTAACATTCTGGACAAACACCAATCTATTGTGAACTGGTACTCCTTCTGGATACCACACTTCTAAGTATCCTGGGCTTGGCTTGAGCTTTATAACCTCTCTGCATATGTTTTTATACAGAGAATATAAAATATGATACCCATAGTAACCACAGTACATATGAGTTTACACATAGAATATATTATATAAGCATTTAAATAGTGCTGATTAAAATAGTGGTGGTACAAACAGTGAAAGAAAGCAGAGTTACTGTCACTCCAAAATCTACTGCTTTGAATTTTCTACTTTTAATCCATAAAATACCTCAAATGCTAACATTGTAATAACAACACATTTTTCTTTCTCCCTCACCCACTTACTTATACCACTTACTTGATTAATACAGGATTACTGATAAACCTAATAAGCCTTAACTTAAAATATGGCTCTACAGCCACTGATGCTCAAATGCATAGAACAGCAAGGTAGGAAAAATGATGTTAGGCTGCACCCTGCACTGCAGCCCCCTCAATACACACATTTTCTATTCAGAAAGTGTTGACACACAAACACATTTATACCAGTATAATTTATGTCAGTTGTATACATCACATACATTTTAATAGGACTCAAGAAATAACTTTTTGCAATAGGTGCAACTACAGAACATTCTCACTAGGTGGCAGAGAAGTATGTAATGGCCTGCTTGCCTGGCAGGGTAGAAGCAAACTTCTACCTTGGAGATGAAAGTGGATATATATAATCCCTTCTCTGGAGTAATTTACACAACTGTCTTTTTACTATAAATTTTTCCCAGGGTAAACTTAAATCTATGTTAAGGAACTTACACTAAAGTAGGGGAACTTACACTGGAGTAGACTTGTCTACCCCTTATTTACACCTATGTAATCAGCCTGAGGGTGAAACTGTTTTGTATCCAAGACCAGATATTCAACAAATCTAAGTATTATACCATGTAAGCACAAGCTATAGTAATGTGTGAGCAGTCATTGTAATCAGGCTGGTTCCCACGGCTGTCAGAGTTAATCCCATGCAGTCACATACAGTAGAACACTTAAAGCAGGTGCAGTGGCTTAGTTGGAAAAAAATATCACTCCCTGAGTGCATCTACTTGTGCTATTAGCACAGAGCAATAAGCGGTGGGGACCACATTTGAACAAGCACATAGCATGTTGTGCCAGGTCAGAGCAGCCCCAGACTGGTAGGGCACTGGGGACCAGCCTGCCAGCCCGGGGCTGCTCCAGCTTGGCTCAACATGCTGAGACTTTACTGTGAAGCTAATTAGGAAGCTTTGCAGTAAATGTCTCGTGTAGATGCACTCCTAGTCTGTCAAACTCAGAAGTGATTAATAAAACATTAGCCCTATCTGGAATGTGTTTTCAGATTTTTTTGTTTTGCTACTTGTTTTCTCCAGTCACCTATTCAGAGATCTGGGGTGAATCTTTTGACTTCCAGCAAACTGATTTGAGAAGAATATGCATCTATTTCCCTATGGGTTTCACTCTTTAATGCTCTTACATGAGGCATAATCGTTACTTACGACTAAATGATTTAATGAGAAGTCTGGGTAGTGCAAATACAAATTAAGGCAGTATTCCTGGGATATTTTTCAGCAGAGATAGAGATGTGGGTGGATGTGGATGTGGGTGGATGTGGATAGGATGTGGGTGTAGGATGTGGGTGGATGTAACAGAGAGCCTGGAGCTCCCTGTTACTTTAAGATAAAAGCAGCCCAGCCAGGGAGCACTATGGGCTAGGGAGAATGTAGTAACTGCAGGCTGCGGAGGCAACAGACTAATGGAGCAATTAGGAGGCACCTGCAGGCAGTCAGCTGACCCCAGGTAGGCAGGACCCTGGGAGCATATAAGTCTGAGGCTGGGGCTGACAAAGGGAGTTTCTCCCTGGCAGTTATAGGAGAATGTATTCCTGTTCAGGAGAGCCACCCAGGAATGTTAAGCCTACTGCTTTGCTGCCTGTAGGAACAGTGAGGCTCCAAGAGCTCACAAGGAGCCCAGGCTGGGAGATATGCTATATTAGTAAGTGAAGGCTTATACTCTTAAAGGGACAGAGGGCTGTTATCCCTTTATGTTTATGTTGTAGCCCAGGGATTTATGTTTATGTTGCATTTACACTGGTGGTTTGGGTTGGGACTGTAAGGGGTGGCTTATGGAGGTCCTGTTACTGCCTGAGAGGCATTTGATCACTTTGAGCCTTGCCAGGGGCAGGCTCAAGGCTTGAGCTATCGTTGAGTCCAGAAGGGTGGAATGCAAGGCTGTAGAACACGCAGGGGTCTAGTGCCTGGGAGGGGTGCAGACAGAGGGACCCAGTGACCAGAAGGGATAGATTGAAGCTAGTGCCTTAAGGCCAGGTCTGACACAGTGGTTCTAAGCTAAAAGGCATTGCTAGATCAAAGGGGTGGAGGCTGAAGCCACAACAGAAGGAACAACACAATAGTAACACCTGTGAGGCATGGTGTAGGAGAGGATTTGGAGCCACACGATTATAGGATTACTATATGTCTGGGTTTTCCCAGAGTTGTCCTCTTTTTTTTGGGACCCCTGTGCTGTGTATGAGTGGGTTTTTAAATAAGAGCAAAGGTCTGGGTTTTCTGTTCTCCTGGGCTGGCTATTTGGGGCTTGGAGCAGCAGGCAAGGTGATTGGCTGTTGTGGGTCATGTGCTCCCTGTGTGGGCTCTGGCAATGAGGAGGAGGAGGGCTGGTGCATGCATAATGTGGGAGCTGGCTGGGCAGCAGGGCTGGGTGCAGAGGTGTTTGTGTTGGGAGTGAGGGGGACCAGCAGGGCTTGGGGCATGGCAGGGGTCTTTGGGTTGGGACTAAGGGGCACCGGCTGGGAGGAGGGCAAGGGGCTGCAAATTAGGGGCACGGGGGACAGGTTGGGTCTGTAGGGCACTGGCAGCACTCG